TGACCAGGAGATGTCAAAAGTGCCCCCCCTTCCCCCCCCCCCCTTTTTTTTTACTGTGAACAAGTTTATATTAATGATCTTTATGACTTTGCTGGATTGCGCTTGCCTATCTCTGCGTATGTATGCAAACGTGGCCACTGGTTGGCCACGTTTATGGAGGCACAGGATGGCCGAGTTAGCATTGCAGAAGCTGCATATGCGGCCCTTCTCTGGTGCTGCGCTTTTGCAAAACTTTCGCCGGATCCTGAAAATGAAGCTTGCATTCTTACTGCGTGTACAGATATTGTTTCATCGAACGGCGATCAAGAACAAGATGTCAACCATTTCTATTTTTTATAGTAGCCTCCAGAGCGCTAGTCAATCATCTTATGCCTCCAAAAACATGGAAGACCGGTGGCCTCATTCGCGAAGCGGGAAAGCGTGATCCAGCAAGTTGCTGGCCAACAATTATTATATCAGGTTCTTCAATGTAACTCGACTTTCAAGACCAAGCTGAAGGGACTCGGCTTGGTCCAAAAGTATGTAAATTATATCTATGTGTGGATGGTAATGTTCATAACTTCTGTTTACACATAGTTTGTGAATACAGCATACCAAACTTGGTGTCTTCCATGACGGGAACAATGGTCCACTGCTTTCTTGCTCTGGAAAACTTCAGGGCGTGTTTGTCTTCGCCGTCTTCTGTGAGGCGCACCTTCCTGTCCGCATTGCAGTTGTAGTGGAGCGCTGCAATGTATGTCCTGAAAGATGCAGCAGAGCGTAACAAATTAGTAGTCCAGATGCCAGGCGAAGTGCAACACCCACCTTGCCAGCAGTCCATCATATCGGTAGCTAACAGACTTGGGGGCAAAATGAATCAGCACCCCATGGAACGCCTCCAGTCCGAACGTCTGCTCGTTCGAGGACAGCTTGGGAATGTCCCGCAGGAGGTGCTTAGAGAGCACAACCGATTCCAACTTCTTGTAGGTTTCGGTGCCTAAAAGTAAGAGCAACTATAAGCGAACATTCTCTAAAACTTGCAACCCAGGAGCTCACCCTCCTCAATCCAGAGCCGATCACTGACATCCCCGTGGAAGCATGCTGGGTGCAGTGGGTTCGGGTGGTGGTGGACATTGCAGATGTGCCTGGTGATTGACGTCCATTTTGCCAGGATCAGGTCCCCCTGGCCGTTGCTGGTGCGGGCGCACCAGTACAGATGTCTCGTGATGGTGTCCAGCCATTTTTCCAATGGCTTGTGGCGTGGAGACTTGGCGATTGCCACAATCTTCTTTTTAATGCCTGTAAATATAATTCCCTTTCAATGCTCCAATGTGTTGCACTTTACTGTTGTTGCACTTCATTTTCGCTCAAATTGAATTAGAGCGAAAATGGAGACAACAACAATGAGTTTGAAAACACTTTCATTGTTGTTGAAAGATGACTTCTATAAACTGCATTATTTTCTACTGCTGTATATAGATTATAACTCCACAAACCAGTGGCAGAAGGATGATCTCATAAAAAGGAACGCTCCTTAGTCCAGAACTGTCAAGATATTTCTGAGGAAATTATAAAGAGGCTTGAATGTGCTCTAACTGCAGCTGAGACAATGCTTTGCTCAATTGCGGATCCTCAATTATATTTTGCTAAGGCAAAACTTATAAGCAAATTTTATGCAGGGCTTAGGTGTTCATGTGGCATACTTCCAGCTCCAGGCTTCACCGGAACCTATGCTGGTGAAGCTGTGCCCTATGCTCATGTATGGGTGGAGGCACACTTTTTCTGCTAGCTCCACAAAAGCATTGCCTGATGTTCCATTTTCACTCAATGGCAAGCCAGCAGACTCTCCTCTGCAGATGCCGTTGGGTCTTGGAGGGAGGAAAAGACCTGGAGAACATGGGTTCATGCGACCTGTATAGGTCCTCGGCAGGGGCGGATGCAGGAATTTCCTCAGGGGGGGGGGGGGGGGGGGTCAGCTGTTGGTCAGCGTACCCTATGTTTAGAAACCCTCTCCCCCTCTCCCTCGTTTCACGCCCTAAATTTTACACATGCAGAAATCAAGAGGGGGGTCAGGACATCCGGACCCCCCTTCTAAATCCGCCCCTGGTCCTCGGTCGTGTTTCTCGAGCTCCATCATTGGTGTAGCCCCTCAAGATATTTCCAAGATTTTCCAACACCAAGAGTGAAAGAAGAAGCAATTGTCTACATGCAAACTAATAAAAAAAAAAGGATGGAAGGTTTTAAGAGAACGGTAAAACACGAGCAGGAGATAAAATGTGGTTTCGTAAAAGCACCCTATCCCGCATGCAGCCTGTACAGAGGCTAGGGTGGATAAAATGGTCTTTCCTAAAATGTCCTTATACCGCAACCAGCCTATCTTCGGTTCATGCAGCTCAGCAAGTATTTTGGCCTGGAAAACTAGGGACTTCCTGGCAGCTCCTAAGCCTCAAACCTCCAATGTTGTGCTCCCTCTTTTTCATTAGTGATTTATCACAATAACCTTCCTGAACTGGCATCACAAACACCACTGGTTGGTGATAAGCATGCTTAAAGTGCAACTTCAACCTCTGCTTGTCTGCACTTGGAGCTGTTTTATCTTCAGAGATGCAACAATGCATTGGTAAACAAAGATATGTATTATTGTAATCATTTCGTTGTTGTATTTGGCCTGTTTTTAGTTTATTGTCCTGGGGTTTCTGTTTGACCAGTCAACCTTTATTTTAGTCAATTTCGTGGGATATGTGCTTTTACTGTGATATTGGCTTACCTTTGCTGACATGCCAGATATCAAAGCGGTGCTGGATGAGGGGATGCTCTCGCTTCATGTACGCGCTGACCTGCAGGTGCCTGTCAGTGACAAGGACCTCCACGGTGATACCCAGTTCCGCAAAGTAGACTAAAGACCTAGTCAGCCCCTCCAGCTCCATGTGGCAACTTGACTTCACCTCAGTCGACTGAAAAACAACCGGTATACAAATGCCATGAACTCTGCAAGTCCATAGTAGTAATAAATTTCTAGGATTAACAACTTCATTGAACGAAAATGTAGTATAAGTGTAAAATACCCCAAAAATTAGAACACCGGTTCTGAACAATTGAGTCCGCTGCCATTGCTTATAAATCATTAAGAACATTAATTTTTTTTATTTAAGCAACGTTAAAAACTATTGAATTCCGATTTAAACCCTTTCCTCTTTGAGAGAGTGAAAGCATAGTTGTGAAATAAACTAACTTGCAATACAAACATCATGCTATAAAGGAATTACTAAAAAGAGGGAACATTTCCAAACTAATGTCAGGCATAACTAACATCAACTTCTATAACTGAAGAGAAGACAGGCGAGCTGGGATAAGATTCCAACCCAAAAGGAGGCGTGAACGAACAGACAACACAGAAATGTCACGTGCAGCTGTACTAATATGCTCTCAAGCAAGATAATGGACAGCCATAGCTTTAATGGCATAATTGCCATCCACGGACCAATGTAGACGTGACACGATTATGTCCACTTCAACTGACACATTCCCAACCGGTCCTTCGATGCCGAACATCCCGCCACAGTCCATCCAGCGCCATAACTGCCTCAAGGAAATCAGAGGTGACAGCGCACTTTTGCTTCCCGTGCTCAAATCTCGAGATCTGCCTAACATCTCGCCTCCTTCACTGCGTCTTCTCGGGCCCGCACTGCCGCATTGGCACGCATTCTGTATTTTGTCCTCTCGGCTCGAGCTTGTAGCTTTATCCCCGCTACAGTAGCATTTTGTTAATTTCATTATTGGAATTATAATTTTATTTGCACAAGAACAGGTGCATCCACGGTGGCATGCTAAGCTTAGCAGAAAGGTGAAAACCCTTACACGTGTGCACCTACTAGCCTGCCGCCATGAATGTTTCCTGTTATTGCTTCGTATTTTCCACATGAGTGAGTGCTGTCTGCATTGGGTACTTCAAAGAACACACTTTTTGAGTTGACAAGCATTATAGCTGAATGAGAAGAGCATCGTGCTGCAAGGCGTTGGATACTAGGAAAATGTTACAAAAATGTTACATTTTTGTAACATTTTCGTCGAGGTGGAGCACGCACACACAATGCGTAACTAGAAAGGGTCCCACTAACAGCTATCACTGTAAAATTTCACATGCAGCTGTGATTTTTTGAACAAAAATAGCACTCGGATAGATTGAATGACAAGCATAGCCTGGCAAGCCTTCCTTCAGCACCTGGAAGGAGACTTGCATTTGGTCCGTCCCTCTCTTCTTTGCATTGCCTGACCATCTTTTCTTCTCTATTAGTCTCCAGTCTTTACAATACACAAGTAGTATGCAGGTAGTTCCGGGGCCAAAACTCACCTGCACGCTCTTGTGAAACTAGATTGGAGTGTTATATAAATGGTGGAAAACATTTTCAATGCCCACCTGTACAAGTTCCAGGTGAATAATACGGTTGATTGATGTCTCCAGCAGCGAATAAGTCCCGTGCAGGGCAGAAAAGCCAGGGGAGTCCGATCGGCCGTCGCCGGCCAGCCGTAGTGGCCGCCCCTCCAGGCTCTTGACAAGAGTGCGTTGTTCAGCTCTCCATACCTGTTGTAAAAAAACAGAGCATTGCTAAACAGAAATTAAGGAGCATGTAAATTTACAGCAATTGATCAGGAAAGTAAAAACAAGGACAGATGACAACAGGGGAGGGTTGCATCCCTTGTCTTTGATTAATTTCCAAAATTGCTGTGCATATTCTAAAAGATAGCACAATCTAAGCTGCTTACGTTCATCACTGCTGGGAGCATGTAGCATCTCTGATACTCGTTGAACTGTGTGGAATGGATTCTGGCTACGCCCATGATATCGAAGAGGCGGAGCACCTTTGTTGGGCAGCCTCCACTGAAGACGATCCCGCTACACATTAAGATGTTGCCCTCCGGCTTGCCATGACACTTAGGCTGGCTCTCCCAGATGCTGGTGTGGCCAGCGCCGCAAGTGGTGGTGGCCTTCACCATGGATGCGACGAGGTCAAAGGAGACTTGGGTGTTCATGGAGAAGCAATCCGAGCACCGCTTCAGGAGCTTCTTGAGGCAAGACCCAAACACGATGTACTTGTCGGCGGCTGCTTCACTTTCATCAGGTGCTGCGCCAGTTCCTGGGGCCCTTTGAGATAGAAAAAAAAATGAGGAAAGTTAAACTTCAATCAAAAGAAAAATGTATAGCGCCTTTGTTGAGTGGTTTGCTCAAACAGGGTTTGGACGGTTATAAAATTTACCGGTTATAAGCTGCAGCCCTGATTAAGCAGCTCTCGCCGCTCTACTAATAATAAACTTAATTTAGGCTCGGGAAAGCCATATAGCTTTTATAAAAATCATTTAACTTAAAATAAGGTATTTCTAGCTCTCTCTCCCTTTCTAAGAGAAAAAGAAACAAGACCAACAATGGGGCACTAATAGTGTCATGCTAAATACATCATAACGAAGTTCCAATCAGAAAAAAGTTATTTTACTCAACTCTTCATCGTCTGAGTAGTTTGGACGGTAGTCAGGATCACTTGGATCCTGAAGAAGACCCAGAGGATCACTGCAAAAACACGAGATGTTTAAATGAATATCTCCACAACCAACACTCATTTCCAGACGTCTGCATGCCAAGGTGGCTCCCATGCAAATTTCAGTACACAGATACACAAATAGGCTTGAACCCCAGGCCAGCACACAAATTCCCATATTGTAGGCTTGAAATCGAGCCAAGATGTCTGTAATCTGACAGAAGCTGCTTGACTGAGATTTTGGCTTCTTGAGCTGAGATTTTGGCAATGTGTAAAGATCACAAAGCTCATCCGAATTCATCCTTAGGTATGCCGACACCGTATTCCATTCATCAGTGTGTACATGATATTTCCGAATTTCATTTCATTCCCAGAGTCTAGTAATAAGAAATCTACAAGTTTTGAATAAAGGGGGTTAAGTGCCACTAACTGGTCACTCAAAGTAGAAATTAAAACTGTGGAAAACCTAAGTTTGAAATAAATGCAAGGGTGCAAATGAGCTGGTGTACATTAAACATAATTAAAAAAAAAAAGGGGACTGCAGGTAATGACACACACACTCAAAAGTCTCAAAATACAAAAATTGAGACTTGAGTGCGTGTGTGCGTCACAATCTGCAGTCTCGTTTTTTTTTTTTTTAATCATGGCTAACTTTGAGACCGCAGTAACTAGATCAGATAGCACAAATCATGTATATAGTTTGAAGGACGAGAAATCTGATCTGCAGTGCTGTCCATCTTCCCTCAGAGAGCTAGCCGTACTAAACTGCTTCAAGGGAGCCAAGAGAATCTCTCATGATGCTCTTCGCACGAGATGTCATATGCCACAAGATAGCAACATTTTTCCTTCAGTGCTTTTCGGGTTTGCATATATGGGCCTTTGTGTAAAGCATAAAGAAATAAGAGCAAAAGTGAACTGAGGATCTCTTCTAGAGAGGAAAATTTTCCTCTTAAAGGGTAACTGCAAAGAAAAAAAAAGTATATTTTTAAACAGCCTAATGGACCTTTTCCGAGAAGCGTTCTGCGGACGCGCGAGCGCCTGATGCCAAGCGGCGGAAGTTGGGAACGAAAAATCGAGGAAATTCGGAAGGAGGCTGTATATCAGCGAGTAGAACACGTAACTGCAGCATACATATAATTGTGTTACACAAAAAAAGAACGTCGACGGAAAGGAAAACCCGACGTTTGGGAGGGCCCTGCTCAGAGAGCGAAGAAACTGGTAGCGTAGCTCCTATTATCGATTGGTAGTGCAGGTAGGTCACTTCCTCGATTTTCAGTTCGTGCAGCCAACGCCTGGTGCCGTCGGTATGTGGAAAAGGTCCATTGGGACAAGCATGTTTCAAAAAAAAAAAAAATTTTCTGCCAAAAACCAAATTTTTTAAAGCAATATTTATAGCGCGAGACTCATTTTAGTTTGCGGCTATTTCGTCCGTTTTAAATCACGCGCCACAAAGTTGGTATTCTACGTCACGGAAAGGCTGCTATACGTCATGGGTAACGTATTTCAGCCACTCCGCACGCGCGTCGAAAGAGCGGGAGTTTTAAATGTGGAAAAGTTGTAACTTCAACTAAATTACGTCATGCGGCGTAAATATTGCTAGAAAAAATTTGTTTTTTTGCGGAATATTTGTTTTGTGACATGCATGTCCTAAATAGGCTGTTTAAAAAAAACTTTTTTCTTTAATGTGGGGTGTCATTTCACGAGTCAAGAGGAGCCATAGTGTTGCACATACAAAGATGCATGGCAAAACGCATTTCAGTGTGAAGGCATGCTTACTCATCTGAGTCCGAGCCACCAGCGTCATCTATTGGAGCCTCTGCCGAAACTGGATTTTGTGTGGCTGAGTTCGTTCGTTCAGTAGTCTCAGTCTGCACTTCCTTGCTGAGTTTAGCAAATGCTGTCTGGGTACCTGCAACGGTGAACAATCTTCAGGAATTAGAAAAAGCTCAAATTTTGCAAGGGTAGCATTCAAAGAGCAATAAATTACACATGCTGTGCGACCTCTTTTGTCATGCGTATGTGGGTAAGGCATTCTCACCAAAATATTTTTTGATCACTCATAAACAGGTTAGACCTTTTCCTTGGTCGATAGTGCCTGCCTAGCCAACAAGTGGCTGAGACGGCTCTCAAGCCTGGTTCACATATTAATGTTTGACTGCATTCGAGAGCAGAATGGCACGCTTGCGGTCAGTTGCAGAAGCGTGTCGCCTAGTAACGGGACAATGCTTGCCCTATTGCACAGCACTGCAAGGAAGTTGGACTCGGTTTAACTTTGAGTGCAGAAACACTTGAGGTGTGTTGCGGTGGGCCAATCAGAGGCCCGCAGCAACGCGGGAACAGTACACCATGTTGTTTGTTTATCCCCATTCGCCGGCGGCGTCGAGTTGTCGCTGAAATGTGCTTCTATGAAGTATTTCTGCGTTTGACAGCAAGGATTACCACGGGATTGTGTTCACTGGTGACAGTGGTTGGATATATTCACGCCAGAGGTACTTTTCGCTCCTTACTTTATCAGAATATAGACTAACTCATGTTTACAAGCAAACTGGAGCACCCCTAGCAGACGCCACCGGCACTGTGCATGCGCGATGGAAAGTGGACAAGAAGCTCGCCGTTGCCCATAAACAAACTATTAAAATGCGATGTTGTCGGCGTCAATGTGAGTCCTCGTGCTCTTTTTCGTATTGGAATTGTTGATTCTTCGTCTTCCTGGCAATGTCTGACTACTTGAGCGGCCTCAGCGACATTACCAAGGCTCGCTACACCGCAAAACTTTGCATGAATAATGTGACATGTGACGATACATTCCATGTAGACGCTGCAGAATGGACGCTAAAGCCTGATTTGTATGATGATATTCTGCTCGCAATTTTCAGTTGCAACGTCGCTTGGGCTTCAAAAGCGTGAACCGTAGCTGAGGTGGTCGCTGTCGATAATGAAAATCGCAAGCATAATCGGACCAAGTGAATCAGGCATAACAAGTCGGTAATGGCCACTGGTAACAATGATCACCATCTCTTTGTATCTACTGTTTACACCAGGCTTGCTTACACCAACCAACCTTTAAACTATTTTGAGGCATACACTCACTTCTTATCGCAATTAGCGGGCCAACATTTGGTCTACAAGCCGGTGTCGTCTGAAAGAGCAGACGACAAGCAGAAATGTTTGAAAGAGCAGACGACAGTTTGAACGATCAAGCGTCTGTTTGAACTTGAAGATGCACTGAACGTAGTCCGCAAGGGCTCCGCCCAACTTAACGGTTTTCCTGCGTTCATGTTGGAACAAAACAAATATATCTGATGACCACAAGTATCCGTGAATTTAACACAAAGTGCTTCCCGCCCAAGCAATCGTGGTCTGACGGCGTCTGGATTTTTTTTTTTTTCACGGCACGTATCCACATTTTCGGACGAACTGAGCACATGAAAACTGACTTTCAAGCCTTTCTCAACTCCTTTGGAACTGCCCCAGTCACGGCGTTTTGACAAGAAGGCAGGTTTTTCTCCGATTTCTTTCAAAACAACGCAGGAATGCACGTCTCGCATGGCAACTTCCGCCCACAGCCCCAGACCGGAAGTGCGCTTGACGCGCCACTACCGCGCTGCGACATAATAGAGTTGAGTTTGTGTATTCTCTCGCTGGTGGTAGGGGATGTTAGTGTGGTTGTTGGTACTTTCCAGAGTTTCACCGGCGTATCAAAGGAATATCAAAATGATTTCAATTCCCATCGCTACTGTAGAAAGGGCTAATGCAGACTTTGTGTGGCATGACGTTTAGCAGAGCTGGCACTGTTTAGAGATAGCGACTGCCGGTCGTGCCGCCACTCTCATCAGGATAATAAATATTTTTGAATGCTCTTTGCCTTTTCCGAATTTTTTTTTGTTATTGTCACATTCGTCAAACCCTCATCAGAATTTGAGATGTTCTCAGATCACGGTCGCGAGGTCGTTTCTTCAGACCCTTTCATAAAAAGTTTCTAGTGGTAGCCGATGAACATGCGTTTTTGTCACCGCCGTCTTCAATGTGACAATGGACAAGATCTGTCTTGTTCCGGAGCACATCAGGACTCGGAAGCAGGTCTTTCTAAGGTTGGGACAGTATGAGTAGCCAGAGTCACGCGGACCACCAGAGAACTTCAAAAAGCCGTGTCGATGTGGCTGCTGGCAGCTGACATGCTTTTGGTGGATATCGCTTGCTATAGGTGAGCCGAAAGCGTCAATAACGTTCTACACTACTGTGTGTGCATGCCTTCCACAAGCAACTTCTGCAATGTTCTGCATCCGCATTTCTGCAACTGACCACACCACACTCGAACGCAAATGTGTGACCCAGGCTTTACTTTCAGCGAAGACAAAAATCAGACTGCAGGACTGTAACTGAGCTGATGAAACAAGCCCTTGCCTGCAGACCGTACACTGCCGCTCGGCACTGTCTCTATGCAGAAAAGATTCAGAGCCATTCTCAGATCCAAATTAGATCTCTGGTTTTATACCTGCTACAATGATACTGCATAGGGCAGATTTCCCACCTTGAAATCTTAACAACCTGTTTCTGCATATGCATGTGGTATCCACACCTTAGATATGAACAAAGCACAAAGTATATCCTGATTAAAAAAAAGACGATCACAAGGAAGTGCTTGTTTTTTGTACACTTGCATCACGAACCAACTAGCCCAAGTATTGATACATCCTCACCTATGCACCTGACTTTGATCTTGGTCTGGTTCCTTCGCGTGCATGTTTGCAGAGGCTCCGTTTGTGCGCCGACACAGACATTTCGTGGAGTCGGTTCAGTCTCCGGCTCAGAAACATCCATGGAAAGCTGCTCACAGTCTGGAACAAGGGCTCCATTTCCATCTGGGCAGGGGTTTGGGTCCGGGACCGAATCGGCGGCACCCGTCGCAGCGCGTTCGGCGATGGCTTCGTCGACAGCCTGCGTTTATAAACAACGTCGCACATCGCATCATTCGTCTGCTATTCTCACATTTCAACAAGCAAAACCCGAAGTCGGCCAATATATAATTACTAAAACTTGTCAAAAGTACTTGTGAACCAGTAATGAGAGCAGAGAAAGCGCTCGCGCGCATATGGATCAGCTCCCTGTGGCCTCAATAGCGAGCAAAACGGCAGGAGTCGGAGGTAGTGTGTGTCATAGAAAACACGTCGTGACTTTTTAACTAAAAGAATTCAACGCTTTTAGAAACCAATATCTGACTTACGTCCTTGCGTCTCCTCTTCGCAAACGCGCCACGGAGAGGGGTTGGTGGTGCAACGACGTAGTTGAAGATGGTCTGTACGGCGTCCGGCTTCAGTCTCGGAGCCCTCTGCGCTAGACCGAATTCTTTTGAAAGCCGCGAGGTGAGCTCGTAGCTATCGCCTGTGAAGTGCACGCTGCACAAGCGGGACGCTTTTGTAGGAACCCAGTGCGCCCGACGCACTGCGGCAATCCATCTTGCTCGCCGCGGCAGGTCTCGTGGGAACACATGAAACGTCACGTCTTTGTTCGCACCCCGATCGTTGTGGCACCCCACCGCACAACAAAAGTCACCACCCATTCATAAAAATGAAATCTATAGCAAAGCCACGCTATAAAGAACGGATCAGGAACAACTCCGCAGCGCTTGATGGCACACGAGGACGGCCGCGATCACTGATGTGACGTCAGAGCGTCTGCTCTTGACAATGTTGCCAACGCAAACGCCGTATATTTGCAGGCAAAATTTGAGCAGTTTGGACTTGAATGAAAATTCAATTACCCATGCAAGGAAGCATAAGAAATTCAGGATATTGTGCGGAAGGTATATCTGGACGTAATGACAATACATTTCAACTGTTTTATTGAAGGCAAAATTTCACCGGACACTTTAACGCGCCCAATAACGGGCGCCCTGGGGCGCCGTCGAAAAAGTCGCCCGCCACCGCCGCGCCCGATCGTGGGGGCGCCACCAACGTTGCCGCCGTAGCAGACGACGCGAAAGACGCAACGCGTTTAGAAGCGCTTGCAAGCCATGCCAAAATGTAAAAAACACGAGTTTAAGCTCCCTTTTAGCACAGCACCCTTTCCAGCCGAGTTCTTTCCGTTTAGTTCTAAGCAAGGCTCTTGTGTAAGCTCTGCGTCCAACCGCAAAAATAAGCCAGAACGAAACGAAGTCGAAGCGTGCCGCTACCTTCGGGTGCCGTCAAGTAATCGAATTTGAAGTTAAAAAGTGAGAGCATGCAGCCCTTGCGATAGTTAATACTTGTTGAAAAAAACTACATGACAGGTTATTTTCGGAATTTTCGCGCACCAAGATCACGAAGTTTAAGCAGTGCGCATGACGCTATGGTTTTTTGAACTACGCGCATACGTCTGTAAGTGAATTGATTAAAGTAAGTATAAAATAAAAATTTATTTTGTGCATTTAGTTCCAGGAAATTAGCAGCACATTCGGGAAGTTGAAGTTGAGTGGTATTATTTTTTTTTTCATAACTCGCGGAAGTGATGACAAACGGTTTCTCCGGTCATTTAGTTGCACATTCTCAAGAGATATTATAATTAATGTTGCATAATTATCAAACCCTCGGCCTTTCTGTAACCATCGGTTCTAGACAGATTCTTTGTCGCTCAGTTAGCAAGTGTTCATTCAACGCAGTAGCGCACTTCAACGACCCGCTGATCAATCTTGCCGTCTGCTACACCATGGTAAAAATTCATTACGGGCTTGAATCATCGCGATATGTGTCATATGCCTTCCAACAATAAGAAGTGTTTCAGAATTGAATTGTAAAAAATTGGTTATCAGATATA